CTGAATTTGAACCTGGAAGAAGGCGCAGAAGTCCCGGCACAGGTGGGTGCAGGGCTCTCCGATGCTTCCCCCCCTGGCTGGAACCCAGGGCATCCTCCTCACCACCAGGACCCATGACCTTGACCCAAAGTGACTGTCCTCCGGCCTCCCCACTCACCGCAGTGGAGCTCCGGGAAGTGACACACTGTGCAGAGCGGACTATGAGCACCCGGCAGGCACGCCCCCCAACCCGTTCTGCTGGACCCTGGACCAGCAGAGCCCCCCTGGCCAACCTGCCTGTACCCAGAGCCCGAAGGCGGCCAGCAGGCTGCTGTGGGCAGGGGTGGGCTCAGCGCTGCCCCCCTGGGCCCGCTTCCTTCTTGTAATGCCAGCATCACCTCCTGCCTTGTCCCCTCTCCCTGGTTCCCTTTTCTCCAGACACTGACCCTTCCCACAGCCCAGGCTCGGCCACAGGTGCTTCCCAGCCTGCGACATGGACGTGGACGGGCTTGGCCAGCACCTATAGCTGCGCCTGACACGTCGCAAGTGCTCAGCAAACACTTGGCCAATGAGTGTACGACGGCCTGCTTATCCCACAGCGCCAGGCGGTCTGCTGGTCACACTGCGGCTTAGAAGGCCCACACCGGGTGGCATGGCACTTCCACGTGTCAGGACCACAGGGCAAACGAAAGCTCCTTGGATTCCCTGGGCCCACCGGTCAGGGCTGGGAACACGGAGAGGGAGCCAGGTGCAGCCCTCCCTCCCCTGCAGTGGAGCTCCGGAAACTGACACACTGTGCAGAGCGGACTATGAGCACCCGGCAGGCACGCCCCCCAACCTTGCTCTATCAGCCGTCCTCCTCCCTGGCATGGAGGTCAGTCCAGGAGGAAGATGCTCCACCGTAGCCCTGGTCCCAGGGAGCAGGCACACCGCCCACTCCAGAGCAGGGTCAGAGCACCCCCTCCCCCACCTGCCTCAAACCAGCCTGCACCCCAAGCTGGCCAGGCAGGGACTCACCCCCAGGGCAAGCAGGGCTGGGCAGCTCTGGCTGGTGAGCCGGAAGCCTACGCCTCATTCCCGAAGAGGGCAGGAAGACTACAGCCTGCCTTTCTGGGTGTCCCGGTGGCTCCAGCTGGCTCCCAAGGCCTTCCCTGTCCTCAGGCCCTGCCTCCTGCCCTAAACCTGCCTGGTGAGCACAGGCTGCTTCTCCTCCCGGGCCCACCCCGCCCGGGGCCAAGAAGCCAAGCTTTATCCCGGAGGCGCAGGCAGAAGGGCGCAGGGTGGCGCAGCTTTCTGGGGGCCTGCAGCTCCGGAGAGCTGGGGGCTGAGCAGACCCGGGCTGCCCCGAGCAGTGGCAGTGATTCCTCGGAGCTCACTGGATGCTCTACGCTGGACGTTCTAGGACCTGCCTGGAACTAGGGCCCATTTAGAACAGAACAGTCTCTGCTCTGGGCCGGCGGCTCCATTTCTGCGCACCTCCTCACCCAGAGCCAACCCACAGTGCCCTCTCAGCAGCCCGGGCACCTACCTTGGTGGAGGGGGTCCTGCTGGTGCAGGTGGAGGTGCGAGTGGATGTGTGAGTGCTGGTGATGGTGTGGAGTCACGTTGAACATCTGTAGTCGGGCCAGAGGGTCGCTGGTCAGCGATGCCATCCGCTCGGCGTGAATCCGCTCGGCTGCCAGTCTATCGGGGTAGCTCATCTCGGGCCGCAGCTGGGGGCCCGCCAGGGCCAGTCTCTCCCTCTCCAAGGGGTTCAGGCCCGGGTGGAATGAAGCAAAAGGGTGGGGGCCCGCAGTGGGGGGAATGGTGAGGGCGCTGTGCCGGGCGAAGTGCTCCATGGGGTTGGTGGCTGGGTGCAGGGGGTCCAGCTCGGGGGGCTTCACCTCGAAGCCCGGTTTCATCCTCTCCCGCAGCTCCCGTTCCCGGATCTCCCGCTCTCGGATCTCCCGCTCCCGGAGCTCCCGCTCACGGATGGTGGGGTCGACGTTGTAGAGGCCGGGCATGTGGTAGGCCAGCAGCGGGTCAGTGGGGTTGAGGGGCATGTAGAAGGGGTGGTTGCGGTTGGTGGGCGACATGACGTGGGGCCGGGCGTACTCGCTCAGAGTCCGAAGGGCAGGGGTGTCCGGCCCGATGTACGGGGGCACAGCAGCAATGGTGGTTGGCGGTGGCTCGAAGGATGGCCGCATGTGGCTGGGACCACCGAGCTGGGGGTCGCTGAGGCGGCCCTCATGTGCCGAGCTGGATGCCTTCTGCTGAGGAAACGGAGGGTGTGGGGGGAGACCAGTTGCCTAGTGCTCCTGGGAGGTGAGCTCTGCCCTGTGGCCATCCTGCACTGACCAGTCAACTTGGTCCCTCCACCCCAACACCGAGCGGCCTCAGCCACGGCCTGTGACCAAGGACCTGGCCCAGACCCCCCGTGATGGTCTCCTCTGTGCCTGCAGCTTCCCTTGTGTCCTGAACGGGTTCCTGTACCTGTGAGACAAGGCACTGCATGGGAGGGGTCCCCCCCAACAAGGGCAGGCGCTGGGTGGCCTAGCCCATGAGAGTGCCCAGCCAGGGCCGCCAGAGGGCGTGGATGAGGCAGGTTAACGCCCCAATGCCTGGCTCTCCCCGCTTTCAGTTTCTCTGCAGTTCCCTCCAATTACATGTCTACAGGCTGCTGGTCAACCAGTCTGAACCTGCCAGGGCCAAGGAGGAGGTACACGGTGAGCCTCTGGGGGAGGGGTCCTGGGAAAGGAGGAGGTGCATGGTGAGCCTGTGGGGGAGGGGGTCCTGGGAAAGGAGGAGGTACATGGTGAGCCTGTGGGGGAGGAGGTCCTGGGAAAGGAGGAGGTGTAAGGTGAGCCTCTGGGGGAGGGGTCCTGGGCTGGCTCAGGGATGAGCAGCAAAAGCCTAGGATGGGGCTCAAAAAGCACTGGATCCTCCAGCTGCCATGACAGTAACACAAACAGCCTCACACAGAGCAGGGGGCCCCAGAGTCCCCAGCCTGGCACGGCCAGCGCCCCTCCCTGCACACTCAGGCCGCCGCCCGCCCAGGACGGAGCACTCACAGCCGCTCGCTCAGCCTCCCGCTCGCGCTCGCGCTCCCGTTCGCGTTCCTTCTCCTTCTCCTTCTCCCGCTCCCGCTCCTCTCTGGCTTTCTGCTCGGCCTCCCGTTTGGCTTTCTCGATGGCCTCCTCCCGCTTCTTGGCCAGTTTGGATCCCGCCAGAGGCATGAAGTACAGGTCGGCCCGTGCACACGAGTTGTAGCCCCGGTCCAGGTGCTTGTAGAACCTGAAAAAGCCACGTCTGCCATCGGGGCCCTGCTGAGGCCGAGGCCTGCCCTGGGCCGCCCAGCCTCCTGACACATACCTGGCTGACTGGCTGGCGTGGCTGGGCGTGTCCACCACAGTGGGCTCGGGGGACGGGCTCCTCGGTGGTGGAGGGGGGCTCTCGGGCTCCTCGGCATCGTCCAGAGCCTCTTCCTTGATCTGGACAGTGGGCAGCGGGCAGGCTGCCCCCACAGGTGTGCTGCCTCCTGAAGAAACGGCAGCAGAGCAGGGTGGCTGGGCTGACGGGCCAGGTCCCGTGAGTGGAGTGGAGGCACTGGGGCAGGACGGAGGGGTGATGGGAGGAGGGCCTCCAGGGACAAAGGGGTGCTGAGCGAATGAGGGCTGAGGGGGCGCCTGGTGGAGGCCTGCAGGGGGGTGGGCGGCAGCAGCAGGGGGCAGGCTCTGGCTCTGGGTCAGCACCGGAGGCTGGGCGGGGGAGGAGGGCAGTGGTTGGCTCTGAGGCATGAGCTGCAGCGGTGGGGGATGCGCCGAAGGGGGGTGGTGTGTAGACAGGGAACTCAGGGGCTTCAGTGCTGGAGGGGGCGGGAGGTTGGCATTCATGGAGAAGGGTGAGGGCCCTGAGAGGTGAGGTGGGTGCTTGTGGGCCTGTGGTGCTGGCAGCTGGGGGATGGGCGTAGTGGGTGGGGGCTTGATGTGAGGCATGGCCAAGGGTGCGGGTGGCAGGGGCTGCTCCCTTGGGGGCTGCTGGGACTGCAAGACTGACTGAGAAGCTGGGGGCTGCAGGGAGGTGTGAGGGTGAGCTGCTGCCTGCTGGCCGGAGGGCTGGGAGGCGGAGGGGGAGCCCTGTGGAGGACCGGCAGAGGGCGCGGGCCCCGGGGTGGGAAGCTGGGGCGCTCCTGGGGGGGCTGTGGAGGGAGCTGGGGCAGCCCCAGTGGGAGCCTGCAAAGCGGGGGGCTGGGCCTGCAGGGTCTGCTGCGCAGAGGAGTCGGAGTCACTCTCATTGTCCTGGGGGCTGGGGATGCTGGGGGACGTGCTGCGATTGTCCTGGTCGATGTCCTTGGGGTCACTGCTGCCCTCATCGTTGACGCTGCGGCTGTCAGAGCTCTCCCCCTCGCCTTCGGACGGCGAGTTGGGCCGGCTGATCTCCTGAGGCGAGAAGCGGAGGGACGCTCAAGTGTGCCCTGCGTGGCCAGAGCCCGCACAGGCACAGCAGGGCACTTTATACATATTAATTCGATTAATATGTTAAACAAGTCCTAAGTTTGGCTCA